TGAATTTTTTTCCTGATTCTTTTTTTATTTTTCAATCTAACAGGGTTTTTTTTTTTTTTTTTTTTGGAATCATTAAGGTTTCTATATCTAAGATCATGTCATATGCAAACAGGAACAATTTTATTTCTTCACACTTCCTATTTAAATGCCTTTTATTTATTCTCTTGCCTAAATGCTTTGAACTTGCAACACTATATAGAATAGAGGTGCTGAGAGTGGGAACATTTGTCTTGTTCCTGATCTTTGAAGAAAAGCTTTAAACTTTTCTCTGTTGGGAAAAGACATATATGAAAAGCTGTGGGCTTGAAGTACGATGAAGTACATTCCCTCTATACCAAATTTATTGAAACTTTGGATAATAAAAGAATGTTGAATTGTGTCAAATGCTTTTTCTGTATCTATGAAGGTGGTTATGTGATTTTTATTCATTACTCTGTTAATGTGGTGAATTACATTCATTTGTATGCATATGATGAGACTTCCTTACATTCCAGGGATAAACTTCAATTAATAATGGTGAGTGATTCTTTTAATGTGATGTTGAATTCAATCTGCTAGAACTTTGTTGAGGAGTTTTGCATCTATGTTCATAAAGGATATTGACCTGTTCATTTCTCTTATTGTGATATCCCTGCATGGCTTTGGTATCAGGGTAAAGCTGGACTTATAAATAGAGTTCAGAAGTATTTATCTTGGTTTTTGGGAAGAATTTGAGAATGATGGTATTCTTGAGTTTGGTAGAATTCAGCACTGTAGCCATCAGGTCCTAGGCTTTTTTTTTTTCCCCAAGATGTGAGACGTCTATTACTGTTTCAATCTCCTGACTCATTATTGGTCTGTTTAGATTTTTATTTCCTCTTGATTCAATGTTGGTACACTATCTGTACCTAGGAATTTATTTATTTCCTCTAGGGTTACCCAATTTGTTGGCATATAATTGTTCATAACAATCTCTTGTGATTCTTTGTATTTCTGTGGTATCAGTTGTAATGTCTCTTCTTCAATTTCTCTCTTCTTTTCTTGGTTTATCTGGCTAAGGATTTGGTCTATTTCGTTTATCTTTTCCAATGCAACTCTTTCTTTTATCAATCCTTTCTATTGTTTTCTTAGTCTTTACCTCATTTACTCCTTCTCTGATTTCTGTTATCTCATTTATTATGCTAACGTTGAGCTTAGTTTCTTCTTCATTTTCTGTTTATTTGAGGTGTAATGTCAGGCTGTTTACAATCTTTCAAATACAGATATAAAATGGTATAAATTTATTTCTTAGAACTGCTTTTGCTGCATCTCATAGACTTTAGAGTGTTGTGTTTCCACTTTAGTTTGTTCCAAATAAAATTTTTCACTAAAAATTATTAATATTGAATTGATTCA